AAGGAAGGAAGGAAGGACAGACCTCTAGTCCCAGCCTGCATTAAATGCCCTCAATTGCTTTTCCCTCTCACTAGAAGGAGCACTCCTTGAGGGCAGGGTCTAGGTTCATCCTGTTCACAGACCTGTCCCCAACAACTCAAAAGGTGCCTGGCAGATAGCAGAACTCAATAATCACATGCTCATTTCAATCTCTCTGCACTCAAATGCCATCCCCTACACTGAATCCAGAGTTACCCACCCCCTTAGACACTATTACAGTACTCAGTTTAACATCTTCATGGAGCGAGTCACTCAAAGTATCCTGTTTATTTGTTTGCTTACTTTTCATTCACTTAACAAATATTTTATTGGGCACTTACCGTATGTCTTGTGCTTTGCCAACACTTAGGGATACAACAGAACAAAGACGCAAAAATTATTCCTCCCATTGGAGTTTACATTCAAGAGGGGAACTCGTACAGTAAACAAAATAGAAAACTGTCCATAACCTGTGCCACACTGATCAGCTCACTGGGGAATAATGAAGTGGAGAAATGGGACAGGGAGTGTGTGTGTGTGTGTGTGTGTGTGTGTGTGTGTGTGTGTGTGATATTTTAAGTAAGGTAGGCCTCTGGGAGAAGGAGAATTTAAGCAAAGACTGGATAGCTAGGGCCACTTGTCTGCGCTCCCCCATTAGAATATAAATACCAACAGGGCCACCACCTTCCCTTTCTCTGTGGCCTCCCTGTCTCCAGAATAGGCACATAGTAGGTGCTCAATAAATACTCTTCAAAGGAAACAAAAAGAGGAATATGTGATTAGACCGTAAAGTAGGCAGAAGGGAGATTTTTATTTTTATGACCACCCATTGATTAGCTAGAAGGTGGGAGGGACAGGGGCACTAAACTGAAGGGGGTGTGGGGAGGACATTTTGGGGGGTCAGGTTAAGACTTAGAGGATGCAGGTCCTCACCAGATAAGGTCCCCTCCTCCCTTTCCCCGTCCGGAGCAAACCTAAGTTCTCCCTCTCCTAATATTGTGCATGGTACCTGCTGCTCAGCCAACCTGGTCCCTGAACCTTCCTCCCAGCCTCCCGGCTTCAGAGTTCAGACATCATCACCCGGCCTCCTTTTTTTCTCTCCCGCACCCCTTCCCTCCTCACCTCTTTTCCCCCCGCCTCCGCCCCTTCCTCCTCCTAGAGGGGTGTCCCCACTCCCGGTGGGCACGCCCTCGCCCCGGCGGAGCCAGGGCGCACGGAGGGGCCTGGGCCGGCGCGCCCGGGCCCCCGCCCCCAGCCCCTCTCCCCGGCGGGACACTGTCCCTTTAATAGGCTCCCGCTGCCTGGCGCTCTGCGGCTGGGGAGTAAATTTCTCCCTGTCATCAGGTCGCGGGGAGAGGAGGAGGAGGAGGAGTTTGTTAATGTTCAGTTTGTTCAGCGGGATCGATGTTTGCTGGCATCGCCTCGCCCTGTCTTGTGTGTGCGAGGGTGTGTGTGTGTGTGTTTGTGTGTGTGTGCCTATGTGGGGGGTGTGAGTGTGTGTGTGCGAGGAAGCGGGGGTGCGTGTGCGTGTGAGTGCGTGTGTGAGTGTGTGTCTGTGTGTGTGTCTGTGTGTGTGTGTGTGTGTGTGTGAGTGAGTGGATTCCAGATTTTCTGTCTTTCCAAAACCCGCTCCTGTCCTCTCGCATATCACTCACAGACGGGGATCTGACAGCAGCCACAAACCTACAGTGAGTGATCGCTCTCCCCCCGGCACGAATCCGCCATAGAGATCAGCGAGGAGGAGGAGGAGGAAGAGAAGAAGGAGGAGGTGGAGGAGGAGGTGGAGGAGGAGGAGGAGGAGGAGGAGGGAAAGAGGAGAAGGAAGAAGAAGAAAAAGAAGAAGAAACCCACTACCTTCCCAGGATTGCCTTTTTTTTCCTTATCTTTACGCGCGAGTGTGCGTGAGGCGCGTGTGCGCCCCTCGTCCCTTCCATCCGAACCCGGTCTTGGATGTTTAATAAAGAAATCAAGTGTCTCAACAGTCACCAAAAAAAA